TTAGATAGATCTTTATATATTTTAATAAGTAATTAAATCAAACCTAAATATTTTATATTTATATATATATAAAATATTTATATGTTATAAATATATTTTTCCTAATCAATACATTAGCAAAAAATTAGTTAGGTATAATCAATATTGTACATTTGTTTTTGAAGCAATTACTAATTAAAAATATTATAATAAGCATAACAGAGTTATTAAGCATAACATGCAGATAATATTTTTATTTAATAAACCATAACAAATTATATTAATCGTTTGCTTTTTATTTTATTACAGCTCCACTGCAAGATATAACAGAAATTCAACAATATACTGGTAAGAATAAAGCATTTTTTTAATTTTACATATATTTTTCTTATAGCATTTATAGTAATATATAATAACATATCACATATACCTAGTATTACTAATGGTATGGTATGCTAGTTTACTTCATTAGTAAGAACCACAAATATATAGTAAAGCTCTTAAGCCTTTTCAGTATGCACTTAATATTTACTCCATACGTAAAATATCCTGTCCATGCATATATGTAAGATTCCATCTAACTAGTTTTTTAAGATTTTCTTTTACAGTTCCTTTATTCCTTGACTTTATACATACATAATAACAAAAAAATATTTCGAATTGGGTGTTCACAATCTTCTGTGCCCTTTTGTAGTTTTTGTAATGCAAAAATGTAGTGTCATAAAATTGTCAGTTATGCAGAAATATAATTACGAATAGGAATTGGAATGAAGGGGGTACTAGCTCCCACGGAGCAGAGATCTTTTGTTCTGCAATATATATACTTACGAATGTATATACGATTTAATTGCAATACATGATAACTTATTATTTATAAAAAAATTTTATAGACTATTCTTAAGCTTTCCGTTTTTAAGTCCACTTTTCTTTGTGATAGTATAGTGCTCAATTACCAAATTAGCCTTTTTCATAAAACTCTATCAGAGCCTTTCTAGTAGAAGTCTTTCTAGTAGAAGTAACTAAAGTTTTAATAATAGGGGATACAAATCATTGCACATAGTATCAGATACTTCTTCCCGTGCTTCTTAAAAGAAATGCTCCTCACAAGAATTTATCTTTCATTTACCGTTTTCTGCCATCACCAGATGGCATCATCATATATGAATAAATTTCACTGTAATTTATATGATTATTTTAATTTCACATTTATATACAAAATAATAATCTCTGTTTAATATTTCTGGGTAATATCATGTTATATATATTACTTCATTATTATAATTTAATTGAGATTAAGTTATTACGGTTGTTTGAAGCATCCACTTAAGCCTTGTGAACCATCGTAGTAATGTTAAAAACTTGCAGAGTTTGAAACCATTTCGTGCCTTAAACGAGCGGTCTTCAAAAAGAAGTCCTGCAGTTGATTAAGATCCTAAAATTTTTTCATAGCACCTTTAACTGACTTACAAATCGGACTCTATGCATTTTATTTGTCTTCTCATAATTGAGGCATGTTTCATCGAAGCGGATATTAAATTTCCACCATATAAGACTATATAAGACTGATTTCCTGTTAGGTTAGGTTAGGTTCGGAAGGCGCGTGCTGACCGTTTTCAGCACTTCCACTCGGAGCCATATTTTGTCCATTGTGATGCCCTCAAAAATTTTGCCGGGAAAGGCGAATTGCTGACCTTTGTAAACCTTGTTAAACCATTTGGTTTTCTAGATGAAGTTGAGGAGATCCGATAAGTTTACTTTCGTTATCTCTTTCAAGTCAGTGAAAAAGCGATCGCCGAGACATTGAAGTCGCTTTATCTGAAGCCCTGGACAGAGACAGAGGAAGTGGTTGATAGATTCTATCTCCTCTTCATCTTGGCAACTCTTGAATAATCCGCTTGTTGGAATTCGGCACCGTTGGAGCATAGGTGCAATGGAGCATTGCCCCCTTAGTACTCTAGTAAGCACACGAACTGCAGGTTTGCTGAAGCCTAAAAGGCTTTTCGTTTTATTTTTGTCCAATCTAGGCCATTAGGTTCTAGTGGCCTCACAGTCTTGACGGTTAGTCCATAAATTGTTAGTCACCGTCTTGGTGATTTCCTCTATCATCTTATACAGTTCATATATTGGTGTATGTTACTTACTTCTTGTTAAGTAAGTTAACGAATAAAATTTTTAAAGTTT